AAAACAAAAATTCTCACAACTGGACCAATAAGCAACATCATGATAAACGGAGAAAAGATTGAAGTTGTCAAGGATTTCATTTTACTTGGATCCAGAATCAATACCCATGGAAGCTGCAGTCAAGAAATCAAAAGACGCATTGCACTGGGCAAATCTGCTGCAAAAGACCTTTTTAAAGTGTGCAAAAGCAAAGATGTCACCTTGAAAAGTAAGGTGCACCTGACCCAAACCATGGTATTTCAATCGCATCATATGCATGCGAAGGCTGGACAATGAATAAGAAAGACCAAAGAAGAACTGACGCCTTCGAATTGTGGTGTTGGCAAAGAATATTGAATATATTATGGACTACCAAAAAAATGAACAAATCTGTCTTGGAAGAAGTACAACCAGAATACTCCTTAGAAGCAAGGATGGCAAGACTACGTCTTACATACTTTGGACTTGTTGCCAGGAGGGATCAGTCCCTGGAGAAGGACATCATGCTTGGTAAAGTACAGGGTCAGCGAAAAAGAAGAAGACACTGAGTGAGATGGATCCACACAGTTGCTGCAACAATGGGCTCAAGCATAACAATGATTGTGGGCACGGCACAGGACTGGGCAGAGTTTTGTTCTGTTGTATATAGGGTCGCTATGAGTCGGAAACGACCCAACGGCATCTATCAACAACAACATGTCAAGTAAGTTGCCACAGTCATCCCAGCCAAGGCAACATAGATTAGCTAACTTCAAGCTCACCCCAGACAAGTGTGTAGCCCTCAGCCAATATTAGCAAAGCTGTCTAGATAACCCATAGTTGAAAACAAACACATGAGCACACCCAGCTGACCTCTGGCCAGATCAGTTGAACCTCACAGACTCATGGGCGAAATATGTGTAGCTGAATACCACTGAAGTTTTGTTGTGGTTAGTTATGTAGATTTATTGTAGCAGTAGATAACTGCTACGTCTTCTGTAACAACTTCCTTTACCTTCCGCCTAAAAAGTGACCACTCCCTCATCTGTACAATCGCCGAATCTTGTACCTTCCTCTATTGCAAAACTTAACACACTCTACCATCTCAAACATTTGTTGAATGAATAAGTAATACGATTTTTTTAAACATTTGGTTCTCCTTCTAAGACTGACCTTCTTGGGAACAGGAACATCTTTGTGAGTGAGGCGAGTTTGTATAGTTTGGGTGTACCTGGGTTTGAATAATGGCTCTAAAAAAGACATATTGTCTGAGCACAACTTCTTAACTGTAAAATGAGGACAGTAGCAGCAACTTTGCAGACTTCTTGAGAAAATGAAATAAGGAAATCTGTATAAAGTAGCCAGCTCAATGCATGACACATCGAATGGCTCAATACATATTATTTGGTTGAATGAATTAAAGAACTGATATTCTTAGAATGAGTACACCAAAAATATAAGGCCCTTTATTCCATAAGCAATTCCTAACACCACACCAGCTGCCCAGAGCATTCTCTAGCTTCTAATTCAATTTATGAGTATGGAAGCTGTTGTTTCAATTTACTGAGCCCTTAGAGGACCATCTTTGCAACTCAATGTCAACATGGTAGTTAAACGCAGTTTATTTAATCTTTCATTTAAAACTAAAGTTGCAGTTCATTGCTTATAAATCTGTTCTCCCTTCAGTCCTTCTGAGAGATAGATTCTTGGCTTGTACTTGTTGCCTCCTCTTGGGCAGGCTAAGTAGCCTCGCTAATAGGCTAGACTTCTGCACAGTTAAGAGGCATGTACTTACCTCTCTGGAGGCAGGTTGCTGTCTTCCCCAGCTGCTGCAAGAAAAAGAGGCAGAGTGAAAAAGATGTATCGGTAGCAGCCGGCTAAAGTGAGTTATGCTTGTGCGATGCCCTGCCCCCAGAGACAAAGTGCAGAGCAGCGGCTCACCTGTACCACAAGGCCCCTCTCCCTACCCCCTCTTTCCCAATGCGGCTGTCTTGGGGACCTGAACTGCAGCCCTCACACACACCAAAAAAAAAAAAAATGCTGTTGAGTCAATTCCAACTCATGGTGACCTCATGTGTGTCAGAGTAGAATTGTTCCATAGCGTTTTCAATGGCTGTAAACTTTCAGACTCGTGGCAACATCATGTGCGAAAACCATAGGGTTTTCTTGGCTGTAGTCTTTACAGAATAAATCGCCAGGCCTTTCTTCTGCAGTCCTGCTGGGTGGGTTCAAACCACCAACATCTAGGTTAGTAGTCAAGCACAACCATTTATGCCACCCAGAGACTCTTTCACCCACACTACATGGCGTTTATTTATGGGTAAAATCTCCTGCATTAGACTTTGACCTCTTTGAGGACCAGGACCTCAATGGAATTTATATCTTAATCTCTTGTTTCCATCACAGGGCCAGCCTCAATGTGTGTTGGAATTTATGATAACAATAAACTTGAATGTTTACTGAGTGCTAGAGTTCCAAGAACTATTTAAACAGTTTCCATGCATCATCTCATTCAATCCTCACAATAATCCTATGAGGTCAGTGACATTATTATTATTGCCATTTTATAGATAAGGAAAGTGACACTCAGTGAGAACACACCCAAACTTAAATAGCTAGTGAGTTGCGGAGTTGGGATTTACAAAGCCCATTTTATTACCAATAAACCAGCAGCACAGAAAAATGGCCTGTAAGAATGGTTCAGTTCTATGCTGACAACTTCCTTCTCTTTCAGAAAGGTGGTTTGAACCCTGAATTATTTAATGTTTATAAAAATCATAGTTAGCCTTCTGTGATTCGGAGATGGCCATATTACTAATGTATACTTAAAAGAGTTCTACTTCTCCATGTAGAATTTTCTATATGATAGGATTTAAGATGACTTACACCAGTGGTTCTCAAAGTGTGGTCCCTAAACCAGCAGCATCAGCACCCCTAGGAACTTGCTATCAGTAACTAGTTGCCTTCAAGTCAATTCTGACTCATGGTGACCCCATGAGTTTTAGAGTAGAACTGTACTTCATAGGGCTGTGATTTCTCAGAAGCAGATCACCAGGCCTTTCTTCCGAGGTGCCTCTGGGAGGATATGAACCTTCAACCTTTCAGCTAGTAGCCAAACGCTTAACCGTTTGTGCCACCGAGGGACTCCTGGGAACTTGCTAGAAAGGCAAATTCTCAAGCTCCTAGTCCAGACCGACCAAATCAGAAACTCTGGCAGTGAGGCCAGCAATCTGTGTTTTTACAAGTCTTCCGGGTGATTCTGATGCCTGCTAAAGTTTGAGAACCACTGAGTTATAGAAATTTAGCCGTGAGGTTGCCCCAGACAGTCAAATGAGCAATCAAAGACTGAGGTAGCTCTCTCGGTGTACCACCTTCTGGCACTCAAGGCCACAGCAAAACGAATGCTAGCACAGCACTATGTGCCACCTCAGAGCACACGTTCCCTTCATGTCTTATTAAGTGAACATAAAGGCGATGAAAATGTCAGCAGGGTCAGACTGTGGTGGGGGTGGGGAGGCGATGAGAAGGTGGTCCTTTAAATAATAGAGGAAAACACAAAATGGCACAGAAAAATGGCCTCCAAGAATGGTTCGGTTCCTGGAAAGGACCAGTAGGGGCCAGTTTCCCTTCAGTTACACTCCGAATGCAGATCACAGAGGCCCGAGAGGACCCAGATAAGATCTCTAAGCTTTCTTTTCGCTCTCTCCCCCTTCTTCTGCACTGACTGTGTTGACAGCATGGGCTTTGCAGAAAATACAAAGGTTCACTGCCTCCCTGCTTGGTGACTTTTCAGTTTTCTTCCCTTTGGACAGATGCCCAGTGATCAAATGCATTGCTCTTAGGGGAAGCAGGCTGGCCCAGGAGCGATAAGGGGCCAATTCCCACAGATTTGTCATTTCATGGGCAAGCTGCCATGGCCTCCACATGAGAATAAGCAGTGATGGATACCCAGCCCCATGGAAAAGCAGGAGCTGCAGTGTCACCTGGGAGTCGATGCAGAGAGGGAGGTGATATGGGGGATGCAGGCACTCGCGCTGTGACTCCCACCTGGTTGCGTGCAAGGCGCTGTGCAATTCCTTACCTTCCCTTTGGGTCTCAAGAATAGCAGCTGCCTGCCTCTGGAAGGCCTGGAGGTTCACAACCGGGGGCTTTGGAGGCTTTGTGGGTGGAGGACCAAGGGACTCCACAGAAGGCAATGGCTTCGTTCTGGGAAGCTGGTGATGCCTGATGTCCTGTTGCTTTTCTGAGTGAGACAGTAAGACCGGTAGGTTGTTATTATTTCCATTTCATGAATTTTCAGGAAGCTGACTGGTTTCCTTGCCTCAGCCTCACTCCCCTCTAATCTGTTCTCTATCCAGCAGCCAGGGTGACCTGATGCAAACATGAACTCGATTATGTCACCCACCCGCTGCCCATTCACTCCATCCTTTAGTGTTTAAATATTGCACTGTCCAACCTAAGTTTCCAGTTTATGTTCTCACCACACTTACCATCCTATACCCCCAACCTTATGCCCAAACATCTCTCACTCAAACCTCCGGCGGGGATCCAGAATTTGATTTGATTTTTAAAAAACAGATTTAATTTTTATAAAAAAGCTCTCATATATTCAAGATTTTGTTCATGCCATTCCTGTTTCTGGAATGCTGTTCCCTCACTTCTCTCCTGGCAAAATCTGACTCATTCTTTAAGACCCTGCTCTAATAATACCTCCTCTAGGAAACTTCTCTTAATTTCCACCAGGAATCAAGGCCAGAATTACCCACTTCCTCCCCTGTATTCCCATAGCACAGTGTTGGTATTTCTTTATCAGTATTATGGCATATTAGAGGTGCTGGTATATGTTCAAACTAAACTTGGGCTCCTTGTGAGTGAGACTATTGACCTCCTCCCAGCACCAAGCACAGGGACTTCTTCAGAGGAGATGCACTGTGAATAGTCACTGAAAGGGTTTCTTACGCACTTATGACATGAAAATAACATGGGGATTATAAAGAGAAGAAAGAACAATCTTTCTGCATAAATAAATCAAACTCCAATAGAAATCCCATGTTGTTATTGTTGTTGAACTGCCATCCAGTCAGTTCCGACTCATAGCACCCCTGTGTACCACAGAATGAAACACTGCCTGGTCCTGAGCCATCCTCACAATCATTATGCTTGAGCCCATTGTTGCAGCCACTGTGTCAATCCATCACACTGAGGGTCTTCCTCTTTTTTGCTGACCCTCTACCAAGCATGATGTCCTCCAGGGACTGATCCCTCCTGGTAACATGTCCAAAATAAGTGAGATGAAGTCTCGCTATCCTCGCTTTTAAGGAGCATTCTGGCTGTACTTCTTCTAAGACAGATTTGTTCATTCTTTTGGCAGTCCATGCTATATTCAGTATTCTTTGCCAACACCATAATTTAAAGGCATCAAATATTCTTCATCTTCCTCATTCATTGCCCAGGTTTCCCATGCATGTGAGGTGATTGAAAACACCATGGCTTGGGTCAGGCGCATCTTAGTCCTCAAGGCGACATCTTTGTTTTTTAACACTTTAAAGAGGTCTTTTGCAGCAGATTTGCCCAATGCAATATGTAGCTTGATTTCTTGACTGCTGCTTCCACTGAAGTTGTTTGTGGATCCAAGTAAAATGAAATCCTTGACAACTTCAGTCTCTTCGTGGTTTATCATGATGTTGTTTATTGGTCCAGTTGTGAGGATTTTTGTTTTCTTTATGATGAGGTTTAATCCACACTGAAGGCTGTAGTCTTTGATCTTCATTAGTAAGTGCTTCAAGCCCTCTTCATTTTCAGTAAGCAAGGTTGTGTCATTTGCATATCACAGGTTGTTAACGAGTCTTCCTCCAATCCTGATGCCATGTTCTTCATCATATAGACGAGCTTCTTAGATTATTTTCTCCGCATACAGATTGAATAAGCATGGTGAAAGGATACAACCCTGACACACACTTTTCCTAACTTTAAACCATGCAGTATCCTCTTGTTCTGTTTGAACAACTGCCTTTTAGTCTATGTACGGGTTCCTGATGAGCACAATTAAGTGTTATGGAATTCCCATTCTTCACAATGTTGTCCGTAATTTCTTATGATCCACACAGTAGAATGCCTTTGCATAGTCAATAAAGCACAGGTAAACATCTTTCTGGTATTCTCTGCTTTCAGCCATGATCCATCTGACATCAGCAATGTTATCCCTCATTCCATGTCCTCTTCTGAATCCAGCTTGAATTTCTGGCAGTTCTCTGTAGATGTACTGCTGCAACCACTTTGAATGATCTTCAGCAAAATTTTGCTTGTGTGTGATATTAATGACATTGTTTGATAATTTCCATACTCATTTGGATCACCTTTCTTTGGAGTAGGCATAAATACGGATTGCTTCCCAATATTACATACAAAAATCATATCTGCCTCTTACACTGGAAATAACACAAAAAATCATCTATAATCCAAGTGCCTTTGCTTTTGATTTACATAATTTAATGGTTGACTACATGGTCACCCGTGCTAAAACTAAAAAAGTGGGCTAAGGTTTCACAAATAACTCTATGTGGTTTCCTCCAAGCCCAGCTGTCCTCTACAACCTAGGAGGGGAGGAGAATCTTCATTCCTGTCCTACCAGCACGGGGCTCCATCCCCAAACACTCAGTCAGGGCCCCCCAAGCTCCTTACAATGTCAGAAATTTCAGTCTTTATGTAATTAAGAAGATATAGTGAAAATGAATTTCTGCTTACTAACTGAGCTTCTAATTTTTATCAGGCACTGTGTTAAGCATTTTACATGGATTATCTCATTTAACCCTCTCAACAGCTCTATCCATCAAAGAAATTCCATTCTTCTTTCTTTATTTCCTTCTATCCATCTTTCTGTCGTTCCTTCTCCCCTTTCTTTCTTTCATACTTTCTTTTTCCCCATTCCTGCATCAACAATCACTTATCCATTACGTCCCAGGCATTGTTCTAGGAGTTGGAGACAGAACTGAGAACAAAAACACATATAGTCCAGATTTCAGAAAATTTCATTCTGATAGGAATAGACAGTCACTATGAGATGGAATCAACTCGGTGGCAACAGATTTGGTTTTTAGTTTTTGGTGATAATCAAGTAAGCAAATAAATAAACAAGATGATTACAGAGAATGATTTGTTTTCTGGGGGAAATGAAAACAGGATGACATGAAAGAGCGTGAATTTGTGATAGTAAGGCAGAGCTCTTTAGGTAGAGAGGTTAGAAAAGGTTTATCTGGGAAAGTGTCAGTTGAACTTAGACCTAAATGCAGCCGTACAAAGATCAAAAAAGAGTGTAACATAAAGAGGGAATACCAAGTGCAAAGGCATACATAATACATACAAAAGGCATACAAAAATACATAACAATATACCAGGTACGGATAAGAGCTATGAAGAAAACTAAAGCAATGCAAGAAGATAGAGAGTGATGGGGATGGTGTAGCTATTTTAGATAGAATGATTAACAACATTGGCTCAGAGCAGATGACACTAGAGCAAAGACCTTGGTGAAATGAGGGGCTGAGACAGTCAAAGACCTGGAGGAAGAGCGTTGCAGCAGAGGGACTGGCAAGGGCAAAGACTCTGGGGTGGAACCAGCTTGGCATATCTGAGGAACAGAAAGAAGGCCAATGTGGCAAGAGAGGAGACATAAGAGAGGTAAGAAAAGGCCAAATCACCTGAGCTACCGTAAAATGGTTGGAGTTGACTTTGAGCAGGAGAGCAATGCAATCCGATTTTAGAAGGATTACTCTGCCTGCTAGAAGGAGAATAGTCTATTAGGGGACAAAAGTGGAAGCAGGGAGAACAGTTAGAGGGCTGTTGCAGAGGTCCAAGTGAGAGATGACAGTGGCTTGAACAAGAATAGAGGGCAGAGAAGGACAGAAGTGAAGGGATTCAGAACATATTTTGGTGGTAGAATCAAGAGCTGATGGATTAGATGCAAATAATGAGGGGGAGAAAGAAATGGAGCAAGACTCCTAGGTATCTGACCTCAGCAACTAGGAGGATGATTGTGTCATTTACCAAGATGGTAGAGATTAGAGAATAATCAGATTTACAGGAGGAGTTATGCAGATTGTCTGAGTTAATGCAGCTTATAAGAAGTAGAGCTAGGATTCAAATCCAAGTTTGTCTTCCCCTCACTACAAAGTCCATGCCCTTTTTTATTCTCCAAAGCTCTCTCTCAATATAATACCAGGAGATTAAGTACTTTCTCCAAACCTGAAATTATAATTTAGCAGATGGGCCTAGAATATCTGCACTGGAGTTTAAAGCAAACATTACTCAGGTCACATATGTGACCACCCTAAGTCAACAGGCTTTAAATTAGAAAAACACAGTGAACCCTCCCAGTCCCATGGGGACTACATTTCTCACCTGTGACCTGGCTGGCAAGCTCACACTCATAGACGGGTGGGGAGGTGCCCCGTGCCGGTCTCCTCTCAGAACTGGGGTTTTCTAGGCTCTTCCCTTTATGTTGTGAAAGCAGAAAAGAGGAATCTTCAGAAAAGGCAAGTGATTTTCTTTGAGCCATCAAGTGCCTCTGGGAAGGAAGGATCTGGGCTTCATTTGTTTCCAGCTTTTTCTTTGGCTTCTCTGGAAAACGCCCCATGACTTTTTGCTCTTCCAGATAGAAGGCTTTACCTCCACAATTAGCAAGGAGGATGGCTGATGACATCTCACTTTTCTGAGATGAAAACTTCTCCCAGTTCCAAAGCTTGTTTCTGAAGCTATCACTCACCTTGACTTTTTCCTTATCAGTTATCTCATCATTTGATTGATTCATTTCTGACAGCAGAGAGGCCTTCTGTGAATTTATGGTAGACCCAGCAGACCCATTCAGAGGTGCTGGGGAATTAGAACATTTCTGAAATTTGCTGTTCTGGGCCAGCTTCATCTTCTGGGGTGTAAGAGGCTCGGGTTCATTACTGGAACAATATGGTGAGAGCTGATTCTGGTTGGATGACAGGAGCTTTCCATTGGCCAAAACCTGGGTTGACAGTGTGCTTGTGATATCATCCTTTTGAGAAACACCTGCTGGGAATTTAATAGGTCCTGGAAGAAGTGGAGCATCAACAGTGTTTTGAAATTTGGCTCGAAGTTCCTTGAAGTTTCTTACTCCTTCCTAAAGCATAAAATAAAAGTGTTTCATTATTCCAGGAAACAGCCAGCATGATTAGGTGACTTGAGTGTATGTGTTAAGGGACTTGAAGTGCCAGTGTAACATGATCACTTATCTATTGGGCAATATTAGCCAGTAACATTCTTACCTATGTGAGATGGAATGAAAATAATCATCTCTCCTTTAAAACACTTTAAACAGGTTTAATCTTATCACAACATGGAATATTTATAAAGGAGATAGTATTAACAATTGCTGATAAACTCCTTGATACAACCCTTTGATGGGCTCGTCACTGCCAATAAAAATAAATTCCAAGCCCTTAGTATGGCATTTAAGATCCTTCAAAATGTGGTCCCCAACTAAAGTACTAGCTCAAAAGATGGTAGAATTATGATCTCCAACCACAGCCCAAAATCAAAGCAAAAAAATCCAAACTCATTGCTGTAAAGTCGATTCCAACTCATGGTGACCCCATGTGTTACAGTGTAGAACTGAGCTCCATGAGGTTTTCTTGGCTGTAATTTTTATGGAAGCAGATCACCAGGCCTTTCTTTTGGAGCGCTGCTGGGTGGGTTCGAACAACCAATCTCTTGGTTAGCAGCAGAGAGCAAACCATTTGCACCACCTAGGGACCTACAGCCCTACATAGCAACCCTTAAACAAAACTGAACTGGTTAGTTTTCCTGGAAACGCTGTACTCTTCACTATCCTGATTTTGTTTATGTGTTCTCGCTTCAAAAACGCACCCGCCCCATCTACCTGTCAACTGCTTTCTTGCACTTCAATGTCCACTTTCTCCACCCAGATTTTCCCTGGGCATGCCCCAAACCAACCAAACTCGTTGCTCTTGAGTCGATTCTGACTCATAGTGACCTTATAGGACAGAGTAGAACTGCCCCATAGGGTTTCTAAGGAGCAGTTGGTGGATTTGAACTGCTGACCTTTTGGCTAGCAGCCAAGCTCTTAACCACTGTACCACCGGGACTCCCTAGGCATGGCATAGCAGGCAGTGCTAATTCCTTCTATGTCTCCTGGACATTGCCATAGCTCTTAATTTATATCTTGGCTGCTGCACTTAACACTGTGGAGTGGAGAAAAGAACAAACGTTAGAACTAGACAGACCTATGTTCAAATTCTGACTCTACTATTCACCACCTAGGCAAATACGTTGGGAAACTCGATCTTGCCTATAAGCGAAGCCTCACCATAAAAATCATTTGTTAAGTGGTAAAAGGATTAGGACTACTACATGTACAGTTTCCATCACAGTGCCTGACATATAGTAGGCCTATAATAAATGAAAGCTATTAATAAGAAGCTAGAAGATTTTCTTGTATTTTCAACTCACCTTGGGGAATTCAGCTCAAATTCAGTATATGAAAATGGGGGTAGCAGAAACAGTTAAACCATTGGGGAAGAGCGAAAGGATCATGCCTGGATTAGACAGTGAGTTGGTGGTATAGGTAGGATGTTGTTGATGTTAGGTGCCGTTGATTCAGTTCTGACTTACAGCGACCCTGTGTACAACAGAACTAAACACTGCCAGGTCCTGCGCCATCCTCACGATTGTTCCTGTGCTTGAGCCCATTGTTGCAGCACTGTGTCGATCCATCTCACTCAGTGTCTTCCTCTTTTTTACTGACCCTCTACCTTACCGAGCATGATGTTCTTCTCCAGGGATTGGTCCCTCCTGATAACATATCCAGAGTACTTGAGATGAATTCTGTCTATCCTTGCATTCAAGGAGCAGTCTGGCTGTACTTCTTCCAAGACAGATTTGTTTGTTCTTCTGGCAATCCATGGTATATTCAATATTCTTCACCAACACCATAATTTAAATGCATCAATTCTTCTTCAGTCCTTCTTATTTATTGTCCAGCTTTTGCATGCACGTGAGGCTATTGAAAATATCATGGCTTGGGTCAGCACCTTAGTCCTCAAAGTGACATCTTTGCTTTTCAACACTTTAAAGAGGTCTTTTGCAGCAGATTTGATGACTGCAATAAGTCATTTGATTTCTTGACTGCTCTTTCCATGGGCGTTGATTGTGGATCCAAGTAAAATGAAATCCTTGACAACTTCAATATTTTCTCCATCTACCATGATGTTGCTTATTGATCTAGTTGTGAGGATTTTTGTTTTCTTTATGTCGAGGTGTGATCCATACTGAAGGCTGTAGTCTTTGTTCTTCATCAGTAAGTGCTTCAAGTCCTCTTCACTTGCAGCAGGCAAGGTTGTGTTATCTGCATAATGCAGGTTGTTAATGAGTCTTCCTCCAATCCTGATGCCATGATCTTTTTCATATAGTCCAGCGTCTTGGATTATTTGCTCAGCATACAGATTGAATAAGTATGGTGAAAGGATGCAACCATGGCACACATCTTTCCTGACTTTAAACCATGCAGTATTCCTTTGTTCTGTTCAAATGAATGCCTCTTTGTCTATGTACGGGTTCCTGATGAGCACAATTAATTGTTCTGGAATTCCCATTCTTCGCAATGTTATATATAATTTCTTATGATCCACACAGTTGAATGCCTTTGCAGTGCCAATAAAACACAGGTAAACGTCTTTCTGGTATTCTCTGCTTTCAGCCAAGATCCATCTGACACCAGCAATGATATTCCTCATTCCACGTCCTCTTCTGAATCTGGGCTTGAATTTCTGGCAGTTCCCTGTTGATGTACTGCTGTAACCACTTGTGAACGATCTTCAGCAAAATTTTACTTGTGTGTAATATTAATAATGTTATTAGATAATTTCTGCATTCTGTTTGATCACCTTTCTTTGGAATGGGCACAAATATGGATCCCTTCCATTCAGTTGGTCAGGTAGCTATCTTCCAGATTTCTCGGCACAGACAAGGGAACACTATGTTGAAATATCTCAATTGGTATTCCATCAATTCCTGGAGCCTTGTTTTTCGCCAATGCCATTAGTGCAGCTTGGACTTTTTCCTTCACTACCATTAGCTCTTGATCATATGCTATCTCTGAAATAAACATCGTACAATTCTTTTGGTACAGTGACTGCATGTATTCCTTCCATCTTCTGTTGATGCTTCCTGCATCATTCAATATTTTGTCCATAAAATCATTCAAACTGCAACTCCAGGCTTTAATTTTTTCTTTAGCTCTTTCTGCCTGAGTAAAGCAGAGCATGTTCTTCCCTTCTGGTTTTCTAACTCTAGGTCTTTGCACATTTCATTATAGTACTTTAGTCTTCTCGAGCTGCCCTTTGAAATCTTCTGTTCAGCCCTTTCATGTGATCATTTCTTCTGTTCGTTTTAGCTACTCTATGTTCAAGAGCAAGTTTCAGAGTCTCCTCTGACATCCATTTTGATCTTTTCTTTCTTTCCTGTCTTTTTAATGGCCTTTTGCTTTCTTCATGTATGATGTCCTTGATGTCATCCCACAACTCGTCTCGTCTTGCATCATTAGTGTTTAGCACATCAAATCTATTCTTGAGATGGTCTCCAAATTCAGGTGGGATACACACAAAGTCGTATTTTGGTTCTTGTGGACTTGTTTAATTTTCTTCAGCTCCAACTTAAACTTGCATATGAGAAATTGATGGTTTATTCTGAAGTTGGCCCTTGGCCTTGTTCTGACTGATGATACTGAGTTTTTCTATTGTTTCTTTCCACAGATGTAGTTGATTCGATTCCTGTGTTTTTCATCTGATGAGGTCCACACGTGTAGTCATTGTTTATGCTGTTGAAGAAAAGATATTTGCAACGAATAAGTCATTCATCTTGCAAAATTCTATCATGTGATCTCTGGCATCGTTTCTGTCACCAAGGCTTTATTTTCCTTCTTTAAAGCTTTTCAACTTTCGCCTTCCAATCACCAGTAATTATCAATTCATCCTGGTTGCATGTTTGATCAATTTCAGACTGCAGAGGTTGGCAAAAATCTTCAATTTCTTCATCTTTGGCACTGATGTTTGGTACATAAATTTGAATATAGTTGTATTAACTGGTCTTCCTTGTAACTGTATGGATATTATCTTGTAACTGACAGTGTTGTACTTCAACGTAGATCTTGAAATGTTCTTTTTGGTGATGAATGCAATGCCATTCCTCTTCAATACGTCATCCTGGCATGGTAGACCATATGATTGTCTGATTCAAAATAGCCAATTCCAGTCCATTTCAGCTCACTAATGCCTGGATTATCGATATTCATGTATTTCATTTTTGACGATTTCCTATTTTCCTAGATTCATACTTTGTACATTCCACTTTTTGATTATTAATGAATTTTTGCAGTTGTTTCTCTCATTTTGAGTCATGCTACCTTAGCAAATGAAGGTCTGGAAAGCTTTACTCCATCCATGTCATTAAGGTCGACTCTACTTTGTGGGGAAACCCTGGTGGTGTAGTGGTTAAGAGCTACGGCTGCTAACCAAAAGGTCTGCAGTTTGAATCCACCAGGTGCTCCTTGGAAACCATATGTGACAGTTCTACTCTGTCCTATAGGGTTGCTATGAGTTGGAATCAACTTGACGGCATTGGGTTTTTTTTTTTTTTTTTCCTACTTTGAGGAGGCAGCTCTTCCCCAGTCACATCTTGAGTGCCTTCCAACATGCGGGGCTCATCTTCCAGCACTATACTGGATAATGTTCTGCCATTATTCATAAGGTTTTTACTGCCCATTTGCTTTCAGAAGTAGATTGCCAGGTCCTTCTTCCTAGTCCGTCTTAGTCTGGAAGCTCTGCTTAAACCTGTCCAACAAGGGTGACCCTACTGGGATTTGAAATACTGGCGGCATAGATTCCAGCATCACAGCAACAAACAAGCCACCACCACAGTACAGCAAACTGACAGATTTGGGGTGAGTATAGGTCGGTGGGATTAGGTTTTGACTCCTGTTCAGTGTTCTTCCAACAGCTCCCACCTTCTCCCACTAGATCTAATTTATAAATTCATTTTGGTATCGCTTGCCTTCACAGGAGGCAGGAGGATATAGGGGTAGTGTGTGGGAGGATATTTAATGGAGCCATTTCA